ATTAGGTTTAAAATTATAAATAAAATAAATTCAAAGGCCAAAAGTTCAGAAGAAAATTGCATGAGGGATGATATTGTGACGTTAAGTGACACGTGCTATGTGTTCGACAAATAGGCTTTGCCTAATGTACGCACACGATCCACGGTTAAAAGGATGATGGTTTTATGTGACACGTGAGTTAATCAAACAAGAATTAATTATTAGAATATTCAACATTTGCCACTAAAACCATAATTAATTTTAACTCTAAAATGACTTTCCTAAGAATCGTTATCAAATAAAGTATAAAAAATTACTAATATACGTAAAATTACAAATGGACTTAAAGTGTGTCAAACAAGTCAGAGAGTTTTTTGTTTTGTTTAATCAAAAAATAATAGACCGAATATTCTTTTTGTGTATGCTAAGCGATATCTTTACCGGTTGTGAACCGATTCTGATTTTAAACCGCTTATTAAGACTTAGGCGTATTAAAGTCACAGTCACACTTTTTTAAAGTTAACTTGGTCAATATTTATAATAAATCCGATTAGTTTGTTTTATTTTTAAGCATTTGTAAAGAATTGTATGTACGAGGAAAAAAATCTTTAAATTATAATTACAAGTAAAAAAATGTGTCTCTGTATGCGTGCGCTTTTCTAACAATAAAAGCCTAAGACGTCTTAGATCTACCATAGTTCTCGAGGAAATTCTTCATAGGTTTTACCTAAATCCCTTGCAGTCGACTCGCATTGTTACGGAACACAGTGTGGTTTTAGTCAGTTCGATTTCAATCTGAGCCCTGGTGAAGTTACCACAAGTAAAAAAAAATAAAAGAACCAATTTGTCATTACTTACCATAAATAAAATACCGATTATTACAAAGCATATTAAATCACCATTTTAATGCCATATTGAATATTTGATAATGCTGGAACAGCGCCAGAAAGCTTAATTAACACCGAAGCTAAGTGATAGAATCACAAAGTGTATGTTTTCAAAATGGTTCAGTGTGCACAAAAGCCACAAAGCAGTCCCATTTCTTTTCAGTAGCGTTTTTCCTTAATAATCTGAGTTTACAAACAAATACGCCCATTTCGCTTTTCCGAACTCTCTTACCGTAGTTATATCAGAAGAAAATCAGACGGCGTTAATTTGTGATGAAATATGTCCTATATTCATATAAGCAATAGAAATATTGCATGATATTTATTTTTACTATAATTCATTTTATTTGCGTAAAAATGTAATATGACAGTAAAAAATAATCGTTCTGATAATTAATCGAAAAGGAATGATCTAACAGGCACATGGGCACAAGGGCATATAGTAATAATTTCTAAGTATTGTCATAACACCAGGGTTTAAAATAATTAAATTCTTAAAACAACTTTGTTAAGAAGAAATTAATTATGAACCTTTTAGGAGGCCATCGAGTACTCTTTGTGTCATTTATTCTTTAAAAACAACAATAATCAGGGACAAAAAAGTCCGTGGAATAATTTTCGACCGTGTCATTTCCGCGCCGATGCCACCTTGAAACATTCAGAGAAGAAAGGAAAGAGGGTTTTCCAGGTCAGCAACACACTTGAGTTGCAGAAGACCATAGGCAGCGGTAGTCGCTTACCATCCTTGACTAATGCACAGGTGGGTACCTGTGCATTAGTCAATATTTTTATTAAAAATTAAATTCTATTACTTCTTCGTTACTTCTTCATAGACTGAGCCATCTGTCCGTTTTGCCCCTATTTCATTTAAAAAAATCTATCACCTTTTTTGTTACTCCTTCATAGAGGTGAAAAAACGCGACGGTGTCCGTCGGCGTTTTTTAAATGCAAATGAACAACGTTTTTGGGCAACTTTTTCAGAAAATTTCCTTATCAGTCTGTCAATCCAATGTTTAAAAAGCGTGTATAGTTCTTAAACATATTCCGCTTTGCATTGAAACATACATAAATAATTTTTTTTCATGCAAAGCCAGATAGAATCAGTTGGATAATTTTTGACCTTTTTAAATCATATTTAAAACACGTTTTTGAGTCATATTTTATATTGCGTTCACAGAAACGGGGTTAGACCGTAATGAATGAGTGTTAAAATACGCTCATCGCAATTAATGTTGTAACTCATTTGACTAAAAATGTTCTCGTTAAAATTTCCAACAGTTAAATTAAAATGTCGCAGTCGGTCGGTGATAAACTCTGATATGGCTAGACATTATCTATCAGGTGTAGTGCTCGGGTTTTATACAGTAGGCAGTGACAACGAAGTGCTTGTCCAACCGTTGGGCATCATATAATCTAGTCTAGTCTATCTAGTCTAGTGAATTATTGCCACATGTTTCAACTAAATAGAAGCGTTAGAAATGAACTCATTATTAATAAAAACAAAGATACTCGTACTTATCTATTTGTCATAATTTTACTTTTTGTGTATTAAATATTAACTTACAATACTGAAATTACTTTATCTGTTTGAAGCAGTAACAAAAATTAACTTTTTAATATTAATCCAGACAGTTTTAGTCTAGTCAAGTATTGCCACATGTTTCAACTAATACCATGCGTTAGAAATGGAATTATTATTAGTACTAACAAAGATACTCGTACTTATCTATATTTCATAATTTTACTTTTTTGTGTATTAAATATTAACTTCGGATACTGAAATTACTTTTTCTATTTGAAGCCGTAACAAAAATAACTTTTTGTATATTATGTAATATTAACTTAACACATATTTATTTATTTAAGTCCTTCTCAGCTGACATGTAAGAAAGTTACAGAGTATTACGCTAATTACGAAGTAATATAACAGGTATTAGAATAACAAACAAAAGTAAATTTGCATTCATGACTAATTACATATATATACAAATGTGAACAACGTGTGTGGTATGATTATAACTATCTGTCAGGTAAGTATTATGTCTGTGTGTGGTGCGTGGTATGCTATACACAAGCATATAGGCTCACACGCCTATATGCTTGTGTATAGTTGTGTCAGACACTCTGATGCTAATTGGTTAGTTATTTTTCTCTTCTCTTTTAATTAATCTCTTTATTTTAATCTGTTACTTAATAGGTTTTTAAAAAGACTCTAAACCTCCATTCAATTAGTCATTATTATTCAGTGTAATGGTATTTTCATACGTTCAGTGGGCACATAGTATATCAGGAGACTTAATTTTCATTCGAAGTCATATTTCGGTGCAAATATAAAAATTCCGGAGTCCTCTGCAATGTCACCGCTCGATAGCAACCAAGAACCAATTGTGTTCACATCGAAAATCCGAAACTTACGTAGTCGGCAACGTATCGATAGTAAGTTCCTGTCGAAAATCCTTGGAAGTTCTTATTATTGTTACAAGTACCGGAACGGTAATGTGGTATATTATTGTTGGAATGTTTATTTTGTATTCGATTCACAATGTTTTAATGGTTACATAACATATAAGTAGCACACATTTGCTTTTATTTCGGATACGTCTGCCTATTGAATGAAAAGTATTCACTTTTGTTAGGCGAAACATTTGGCGATGGGGCAAAACATCGTATTTGAAATATAACAAAAACATAGAAAGAAATTTAAAATTTAAAAAAAATTACGTAAGGAATAAAGGAGATTAATAATAGCAGGCAATAAAACACTTTCATAGACTTTTTGACCCTCCTACATGTCTGAAAATAAGTAGTAAGACACAGTTTTCACGCTGTCCCGTATGGTTCATAAACTTATCTTTGAGCTAATCAATATACACCATCAAGGAAACTACCCATATTACGTTTTGAAATGATGAGAGAGATTAGTCGGCATCTCTTCTATTAACACGTCGGTTGTGTTAATAGAAACTGGATCTCTAATCACGATTACGCGCAATATGGCACACCCTGTGGATTTCGACATACCGCACAATCGAACACCAAAGAGGGTTTTCTACTTGTTTTTTTATTGTTTATGGTATAGGGGAGCAAACGAGCTGATGGCTCACCTGATGGTAAGTAACTACCGCCGCCCATGGACATCTGCAATTCAAGAGTCACAGGTGCGTTGCCCTTTGAATATGCCTCCAGAATCAGGGGAATGAGGGGTTTGGGCTCCGGTGATTTCCTTTACTTAGTGAAAAGCACCAAAATAATTTCTTAACACTGGTTTTTCTATGAGGCCCTGGTTTGTCTCTGATCGGGTTTTATTTAATCCAAAGTATGAAATGCTGAAATAAAAGTTAGTATGTATATGTTATATAATATTTCTACAGAATCCCTGTTTCTCACTTTAGTCCCCCCTCTCCCGGTTTTGGAGTGCGGGTTT